TGGGGGTTTAGGGTTTAGGGTGTAGGGTTTAGGGTTTAGGGTTTAGGGTTGAGGGTTTAGGGTTGAGGGTTGCGGGTTGGGGTTGAGGGTTAGGGGTTGAGTGTGTGGTGTGTACTGTGTGGGATGTAGGTGTAGGGATTGGGGTTTAGGATTTATGGTTCGGGGTTTGGGGTTTTGCGGTTTATGATTCTGGGTGTAGGGTGTTTTGTGCAGGGTGTAGGGTTCGGGGTTTGGGGTTTAGGTTTTAGGGTTTAGGGTTTAGGGTTTGGAGTTTGGGGTTTAGAGTTTGGGGGTTGGCCCAATTCCTTATACCCTATACCCTCAACCCGAAACCTTTACCTCTAAACCCTCCACTCTATACCCTACCCTTTACCCTAAACCCCAAACACTAATACAGTGCCTAAAAAACTGATTCCCAAACCCTCACCCCTGAACCCAAAATCCTAAATCCTGAAGCCTGCTCTCTGAACCCTGAACTTTGAACCCTAGACCCTAAATCCTTAACCACAAACCCAAACCCCCCAACCCTGAACCCTGAACCCTAAACCCTGAACCCTAAACTCTGAACCCTGAACCCAAAAACATAGACCCTAAAACCTGAAGTCGTTTTTTTGAGCGGCCTGATCTGAAAAAGCGACACCTCAAAAAAATTAAATGGCTGGAGATCCTTATATTTTCCCTGAGAGCTGAAAATCTAAATGGCCGGAAATGATTTTGAAAACCCATTAGAAATCATTAGGGGCCCTTACAATTTTCAGTCTGTTTGCTTTACAGAACAACTTCAAGGACCTAAAACGAATCGTCGTGAGGCGGGGACGGGATTCAACCCCTAAACCCCAACCACTAAACCCTGAATCCTAAACCATAAACCCTGAAACCCAAACCCCAAACCCCAAACCCTGAACCATGAACCCTAAACCCTGAACCTAATCAACTCTTAAATCCTGAAGCCTAAACCCTAAACCCTGATCCATAAACCCTTGACCCCATTGCCCATACCCTATACCTTAAACCCTAAACCTTTGCCTCTCAACCCTTCACACTAAAACATATACCCTGAACCCTAAACCCTAAACCTTTGCCCGTCAACCCTCAACCCTCAACCCTCAACCCTCAACCTTCAAACACTGAACCCTGCAGCCTGCACACTGCCCCCTCAACCCTCAACCCTCAACCCTACACCCTAAACCCTAAACCCTAAAACCTAAACCCTCAACCCTCAACCCTCAACCCTCAACCCTCAACCCTCAACCCTCGGTGTCTCCCGCCGCCCCACCCGCTCCTCTGGACCCCAGCAGCAGCACCCTGCTCCATCGCGCCCTGCGGCGCGCCACACCGACCCCAGCGGCCCCTCGAGCCCTCCGACACGCGGTCCAAGCTGGCGCGAGGTTGCACGGAGAAAATCATAAGGCCGTTTCTTACGCTGGAATCGAGAAAGGAAGAATAAGAGATTGTAAAGCACAAAACCTCCTTTTCGGAGGATGGGCGTTTCTTACGGATCGAGAAAGGAAGAATAAGCGAAAAGCTTATTCCTCCTTCCTCAAAATCGGTCGCGGAACGGCCGCGGAGAGGCCTCTCCGCGGCCGATTTTCCCAGGTTTTCTGGATCGGGATTCCTAGCAAAACCCTAACCTGTGCAAAAAAGAAGTGATTTCTGAGAAAAAAGCAAACGCTTTGTCATGTGTTCCTATCGATCTGTCGACCTTTTTCTCTTGAAAAGATCCACAACCTGTGCAAAAAGATATGAAAAGAGGGAAAAGAAGGTGGCACGGTTTTTTTTCCTTTTTGTGAAAACTCGATCCTGTCATGTGTTCCTATCGATCTGTCGACCTTTTTCTCTCGAAAAGGTCCATAACCTAACGGGCATTTCCTCGTGCTTATTCTTCCTTTCTCGAATTCAGCGTAAGAAACGCAAAAATCGCTGTTCGTGAGATTAAGAAGTCAAGCAGTAGACTATTAATTTGTACTGGTACTTTGATTCAAAAGTCAATCACAATCTCTTATTCTTCCTTTCTCGATTCCAGCGTAAGAAACGGCCTAAGCTGATTACTGATTACTGAATTTATTAAAGAGGGTTCGCCGTTATTGCCTAACCCGTGCCATTGCCAGACTATGATCGGTCCATTTTATCCCGCTCAGTCTGTCATGCTCCCCGAAGATTGGCGCAGATGAAGTAAACGAAGGAGAGGTTTGGTACGAGCTCGTACGAGCCTCGTAGGTCCACGTGGTCTCATTTTCTCCTCAAAAGGCAATTTCTGCCCCAAGGACGTGACCAAAAATCGTCAAAAGGCAACAATAGTGTCGTGTCCAGAGAAATTGAACCCCCCCCTGTGGCTTTGCAGTAGATAGGGGGGAAAGAGCATCTGGCCCGCCTCAGGACCTGAAAACATAAAGGTCAGGTTATGAGTGTTCAGAGAGTGGAGATTTCCCCAAGGGGTCGGAACACTCACAACCTGACAAAAAGTGACAAAAAGAGAGAGATGAACCCAAAAGGGTCAAAAAAGGAGGGTAAAGCATTACGGACTATTGACACTTTAAAAACATATAATCAGCCATCAAAATGCCAGTTTTTTGCGCAGAGCCGAATCTTCCAAAAATCGGGTATTAAATACCCTCCAGTGGGGGCGGGCAAAAAAGAAGCCTCCAGACGGTGCAGGAGGCCAAAAAGTTGAAAATCCATTCAGGGGGATTCCGGGGTTCGAACCCGGGACCTCCTGCACCCCCGGGCAGGAGGCCAAAAAGTTGAAAATCCATTCAGGGGGATTCCGGGGTTCGAACCCGGGACCTCCTGCACCCAAAGCAGGCATCCTACCACTAGACCAAATCCCCAGCCAAAAACCAGCGGTTTCCGACGATAGGTTGTGATCCTTCGTGTGTATCAGTATGAATGAGGCTCACCCTGAATAACCTGTTCTTTGAGGGTTTTCGCCCCCCCTTTTGGTGATTCTGGGGGACCACAGGCTTGCTCGGGTTTGTCGGGGAGAAGCACTGCGCCCAGGGCGGCCGTGGCGCCGGCTCGGCAGGCTCCACCTGCAGCGTGGGAGAGGTGAGCTGCTCCACGCATCCAAGATCCCAAAATGGCCCTCAAGGGGGGCCATATGGGCCCATGCATGGGCCTTTGCCGGTGGTGGCCCTGCGGGATCCGCCCGCCACATGGCGTCCCTCCAGGGGCAGCTCCGTTGCCCCTGGCAGCTACGCTGACCCTGCGGGCGCCATTACAGGCCGCATTCCTGGGCCCGCACATGCCACGTGGCAAGGCAGGCACTGCGCGCCCGCCTGGCCATGCTTTACTGGACAGGGTGAAACTCCCATAGCGCCACATGGGAGCCAGCTTTCAACGTTCCACAGTGCATTTTGCTGCGAGCAGCGGCCCATCGGGCCGCACTCAGTGCAGCCCGCTTCCGTGGGCCCACACGTGGGTTCGCACGTGGGCCCTAATGCTTCACCGTCAACACTTAGAACTCCCCTGGATCTGGATGGGTTCCAGCCTCCAACGTGTCGCACTGCCTCTCGCGCCGCGACGGGGTGGTCGTCAACCGTGATCCCCTCTTCCCAGGCAGGGCTCGGCACTGCTTACGCCCACGGGTGGTCCTCGGAAGCGTTCGAAAGTGAAGGCTGGCCGGGAACATGGCGCTCCTCACACGTGTTCCTTTTGCCCACGCAGGGTTCGGCGCTGCTTACGCCGCCCATCGGGTAGTCTCTCTGGATCTGGAGTGCGTGAGGACAGGGCGGGAAGATGGCGCCGAGCACGCGGGCAAACCCACGCGGGCCCGTGCGTGGCTCCCAGGAATGGAAGCTCAGGTACAAAGGGATGAGCGTTGAACGTCGAGAGTTGAGGGGGGGCGGGGGGTATATGAGGTGGGGGGGGTCGACGTGATTTCGTCCTTGCCCGGAAACCAGCATCAACCCTGCCCCTCCCTGGCCGCAACCCCCCCCTGTAACTCCCCCTGGGGGGGTCCGGGCAACCAGCAGCCCTCGTTGCCTACCTTCGCCCCCCCCTCCCTCCTCATGGACACGGTGTAGTGAACTTGAACCAAGATCCTGCCGCTCTCGTCTTTGCCTTGGAACCAGCATCGACCCTTCGCGGCTCCCAGGATTGGAAGGCAAGGTGCAGACGCCCGTTCTCTCAGAACCCACGCCCCCCCTCCCTCCTCACTGACACGACGAGTGTAGCGAAATCGAATCAAGAACCTGCCGTGCTCGTCCTTGCCTTGAAACCTGGTATTGAAGCTCAGGTGCATAGGGTTGAGGGTTGAGGGGAGGGTTGAGGGCTGAGGGTTGAGGGCGGGGGGTATATAAGGAACAGCGTAGGGGGGGTCGACGTGATTTTGTCCTTGCCCGGAAACCAGCATCTAGCTCTGCTTCAGTTCTATTCTTGCTCGTCCTTAAAAGTATTTAAGAACAGAAATCCAGTACAAAAGGGCGAATCAAAAGCCTTTAGGACCAGCCAGAATTAAAACTCAGGCAGAGCTAGAGCATCGACCCTTCGCGGCTCCCAGGAGTAGAAGCGCAGGTACATCTGCCCGTTCTCTCAGAACCCACGCCCCCCCCCTCCCTACCCACTGTACACGATGAATGTAGTGAAATTGAACCAAGATCCTGCCGCTCTCGTCCTTGCTCTGAGACCTGGTATTGACGCTCAGGTACATAGGGTTGAGGGTTGAGGGTTCAGGGTTCAGGGTTCAGGATTGAGGGTCGAGGGGTTGGGGGGTATTGGACACGGCGTAAAGGGGGTTGCCGTGCTCTCGTCCTTGTCCAGAAACCAGAAATAAAGCTGCCCCTCCCTGGCTGCACCTCCCCCCCGTATCCACCCCCCGGGGGAATCGCTTGCAAACGTTCTGCCCTCGTTGCCCGGACACCCCGTAACTCCCCTAGGGGGAATCCGGTCAACCAGCAGCGCTCGTTCAACTAGCAGCGCTCGTTGCCCGGGCGTGACACCGCGGGGCTGAGATCTTGTATTTCAGTTCACCGCCGCACCCTGGATGGGCCTGGGATAGATTTTTGGACTTGGAAGGCGCTCGCCTGACAACCTAACAACCTCACGACCTAACAAATTTGGCAGCCGCCCTCACGCCTTTCGTCGCTCTCTTTCGTGTGTCTCTCTTTGGTGTAAACAAACCTCTCTCTTTCGTGTGTCAGCCGGACGCTGGACCAACACGAGCCACTCTGATCTCATGAGCATCCAACCAGTCTTTCTTTTCCGTGTAATAACATTACAGCCTAACAACCCAACAACCTAACAGCCTGACAACCTAATAACAACCTGACAACGTTGGCAGCCGGAAGTTGGACGAGGAAGATCCGCCCATGTCGTGGCGGGAGTGGCTGGAGCACAAGCATCAACAGTACAACATTACCAGGTGGGGTTGGGGGTTGACTTATGAGGGTTGAGGGTTGAGGGCAGAGGGCAGAGGGTTGAGGGTTGACTTTGACGGGCCACGTCGTGGCACGCAAGCATCAACAGTACAACATTACCAGGTAATTCGGGTGGAGGGTGGAGTAGGAGGTAGGAGGTTGGAGGTAGGAGGTAGGGTTGAGGGTTGAAGGTCGAGGGTTGAGGGTTGAGGGAGTAAGGTCTAGGGTTTATGATTCCGGGTTGCGCTGCTGTTTTCCCGATGGAGTTTCTGCAGTAAAAAAATCAGTCCCAGGCCCTTCGGATGAGGCGGAAGGGTCTTGAGAATCACACCGGCGCATCCCACCCCTGCGTGGGGTTTCGGAGTCCGTAGGAACCCCCTTATGTCTCTACGGTAGGCCTATGGATTATCACTTGGGGGTTATTCACGAAACTCCGTCGAAGTCCGCGGTGTGGCCTGCGTGGGGTTTCGGAGTCTAGCTGTGCCTGAGTAAACTCGGGCTCGCCAGAAATACATTATAGGTGCACCTTTGTACAATATTTCCTGCTCTAAATGTATTCAACGGAGGCCAGGTTATGAGGGCCCCCACACGGCGGGCTACGAAGAGGTTTCGTAAATAACCCATAGATGAATGTTCATAGGACCCTACGGGTCGTTCCTACGGATATCCTAACCGATTCTTGGTTGCTCAGCCACTAGAATCCCTTCGGAGTTGTGCGGCTCGCCACCCGAAGTCTAGTATTTAAAATAAGTTTGATCGGTTACGTTTCCCAGAGTTGTTCCAGGCGTTCACGTGGGCTTCGAAGGCGATTTTTAAAACCATAAATCTGGTCGAAATGCCGGTTGAACACATGTATTTGTACCGAGCAATTCTCGATTAATACCACGAAAATAAAATAAATGGAACCATCTGTGAAGCTCACTGTGTGCTGACAAGGAGCTGAGTGTTTGACTGCTGCCGCAGCGTGCAGTGCAGGCTCGTCTGGTGGGAGCGCCTGCTCTTTAATCAACCCATCAACCCCAAACCTCAACCCCTAAAAATATAAGCAACTCCTAAACCCTACACCCTAAACCCTAAACCCTAAACCTTAAAACCTAAACCCAGAACCCAGAACCCAGAACCCAAAACCCAAAACCCTAAACCCTGAACCCTGAACCCTAAACCCTAAACTTAAATCTTAAACCTAAACCCTAAACCCTAAACCCTAACCCCTAACCCCTAAACCCTAAGCCCTCAACCCTCAACCCTAAATCCTCGCAGGGTGCTGTACATGCTGGACTGGTTCGGAGCGCCGGCGCTTCCCTTTTTCTCATAGGAGTTGGGCGAAGGTTAATTAGGGCCCGAACTAAAATTAAGTAGGACTATCATCCCGTTTTCTACTCCGGTTTCATTGAAATCAAACACGTTACCGCATCGAAACCCCGCAAACCCTAAACCCAAACCCTAAACCCAAACCATAAACCCAAAACATAAATTGTCGCAGTGTGCTGTACATGCTGGACTGGTGGGAGCGCCTGCTCTTTAATCAACCCCTAGCTCCTAACTCCTGAACCCTCAAGACATCATCAACCCCTGAACCCTGAACCTAAACTCTACCTAAAACCTAAAAAATAGAAAAATAAACCCTCAACAATAAACAATAAATAATAAATAATAAAACCCAAACCCTAAACCCTGAACCTCAAACCCTAAACCCCCGCAGTGTGCTGTACATGCTCGATTGGTGGGAGCGCCTGCTCTTCAACATGGTCATGCTCTGGTCTGAACCCCAAAACCCAAAACCCTTTTATGATCTCATCTCCATAATACCTGACCCTTCTATCTCATCTCTCAAAACCATGAACCCTAAACCCTCAACCCTCAACCCGAAACCCGAAACCCGAAACCCGAAACCCTAGACCCTGAGCCCTCAACCATAAACCATAAAACCTGAAACCTAAAACCCTAAAACCTGAACCCTAAACCCTATACCCTAAACCCTAAACCCTAAACCCTAAAACCTAAAACCTGAACGCTAAACCCTAAATCCTAGACCCTAAACCACTCGGCAGCTGGCCCCCAACCCCTGTAAACCCTAAACCCTAAACCCTAAACCCTAAACCCTAAACCCTGAACTTTAAACCCTAAACCCTAAACCCTGAACCCTGAACCCTGAACCCTGAACCCTGAACCCCAAACCCCAAACCCCACACCCCAAACCTCAAACCCCAAACCCCACACCCTAAACCCTAAACCCCACACCCCAAGCCCTAAACCCCAAGCCCCAAACCCCAAACCCTAAACCCGAACCCGTCCGGCAGCGTGCTGTTGGGGACGGTCTTCACGATGTACGTCTACTCGCACACTTCCATCCCTCTCTTCGCTCTCTCGGCGTTCCTCCTAGGTGTTTGTCCGCACCCCACACCCTGAACCTCAGCCCCGAACCCTGAACCTGAAACGCTCAACCACGAGACATACGTCTACTCGCACACTTC